AAAAAACTACAACAAAAAAAATGTAAATAAAAAGTCTTAGACATACCGTAGGGATGGTATTACAGAAAATTTTGGCGGTATTAAAACACTGAGTTTACCAAACCGCGGTATACATTGAAAAAGATTATCGTCCCATGCCTTATCAGATATCAATGTTTTGCATTTCGGTACTTTTTTTAATGGATCTGGCATTAACTTGTGCGTGGTAAATACCTGTGTGTGTGAGAGAGAATGTGAATAAGTGCAAGCGAAGCCTGTGTGGATTGTTTGTGCGTGAAGTCACCATCCGCAAATTAAAGCAAAAGTCACATTTAACTATTGGCCCTCAAAAATATTTTCCACCATTCAGCTTTCTTACATTTACAATCACTCTCATTGGTTGGTGATTGTTTCGTACGCAGTGAGCAGCAGAAAATAAATAATGGCATAGCCTGGTCAAAAGAGAGCTTGAGAAGATGAAACTGCACCCCAGGATCAGGATAGTGGGAGACAGAAGCAAAGCAACCTCAAATCAGCCAGAATGATATAAAGAGCTTGAAGATTAGACAGAGCGAGTTATTTAATAAGGCTATTTATAGTGAACTGAACTAAACAGTGAACTGAACATAATAGTGAACTGAAATAAACAGTGATTGCTCATACAATTTATGTTTGTAGCTATATGTTTTTATTATCCATGTCTGGCCTATAACAATAAATGGAACAAAATAATCAAGACCGTTCAGAAATGTGATGCTCTTTGTTTTGCGATATCACCGTTTAATGATGTCATGTTCTAGAAAAACTGAAATTTTGTTGGACGTATGTCACAATAACTTTAATTACCTGGTTTTGTTCCAGGAGTTATTCATTTGCAAATTAAGCACTGAAGGTAGTTCATTCTGATAGACATTTGAAGCCGACAGGATGCACTAACCCATGACAGATGAGGTACGGGTAGTACATCCTAAGGAGGTAGCACATCATCAGAACAAAAGTATTGTTCAGTAAAAGTGGACCACTGCAAAATTATTCACCCCCTTGATGATTGAACCAACTGATTGCCTAGTCCTAATCACCACCGTACCCCACACCTAATCCAAACCTTACCCTAAACTGAGGAATGAGCAGAAGCATAAACTGGTGGCGGTGCTATTTTGGGTACTACACAGGCCTTCCGATCACAGCTGGAATAGCAATGGGACATTATTATCAAGCAATCACCAGGCCTGCACATAAGCCATTGACAAAAAAAAAAAAAACAATACAAGCATTAGATCTTGTAAATCAAGGTGATTTTGTTTTTCTCTGATGATCTGGTTGTGTTACCAATGTTTAACTGCCAATCTTATTCCCTATCTCACTCTCACTGCCACATCTAATGTAGTGTCTCTGAATATAATTGGCTCCTTTAGCTTTTGTTTCCGTGAAGGTGGCAGACAGTCAGCAATGAAGCAACTGAAAAGTATGAAAGCATATCTCTGCCACAGGATAACCTGTTTTGAAAGGTAATTGCAATTAATAATCACACAATTCTGACTATTCTGATCTGTTTTTTTTTTTTTCTAAAAAGCCTGAATTCAGAAATAAAACAGAATTGTGATGTAACTTCCATGACAAGCATTAGGAAAGAGAGTAATAAGAAAGAAGAGGTTTTGAGAGATAAAACTTGATATTGCTTGAGGGAAATGTTAGGATCTTGAGCGTATGTCTCACAATTCATGGAATTGTTACAGGATTGTGAATTGATGCTGCATTCAGGTCATGCATGTCGTAATTACTGTCATTCTGAGATGACAAAACATGATGTTCTTGTCACGATCTGTTCACACCCTCAGGCAGGGAATTGTTTGTTTCTATGGCAACACTATCAACAGCTAAAAGAATCAAGTCTCCACAGAAATAGTTCCTGGAGTTCCTGGATAAGTGGCCATAATGGAAGTGTTTTTATCCACTGCATAACCTGATGTGGTCATATCAAGTTTAGAGGTGAGGTCATCATAAAGGTCATAATTTTCATTGCATAATTTAGAACACAGGTGTCAAATACAGCTCCTGGAGGGCCACAACTCTGCACAGTTTAGTTCCAACCCTGCTTCAACACACACTTACCTGTAGGTTTCAAAGGCTGTTTCTAAACTCCAATAAAGCTGAGAACAGGCCTGTAATCTTGTGAAGTCTTGAAAGGTCACTTAAGTAGAACCAACTCGGGAGACCGCAAGAACAAAGAACGCATCCTGTGAGAAATGAGATGCTGCATTCTTCCTGATGGTCACGTAACCATTGAAAATTACTTTCATACAATGATTTACTGGTTTCCCCCTTTTCAACATGTTTAACATGCACAAAAACATTACAAATATAATGCACAATACAAATAAATCTGATTTTTATACAAATTTCAACAAATAAACAACCTTACTGTGTTTATGCCTCTATTAAGATTTTCTTGTTAATGCATACTTTTACCGATCCAGAAAAAAAATCTCCTCTTTCTTGTATGTATGCATGCATGCGTATATAATTATTTATATATATATATATAAGGGATGTCCCGGTACAACATTTTAACTTCCGATACGATACCGATATTGCAGCCATCAGTCCGATACGATACCGATATAAATCCGATATCAGAACAAATTATGACTTTGTATTTTTATTTACATTTTAATTATACTTTATTTTTACCTATTTTGTTGAGTCAAATGTATGAAAGGCTAGATCAAACTGAGAACAAGTCAGCAACACTAAGTATGAAAAAAACAACCAGTTCATTAACTATTGGTTGCATAAATTTGAACCTTTTACATAAGAATTTATAAAATGAATTAAAGAAAAAATATTAAGACCCAGAAAAATATCTTAATTGAATAAACAAAAATACATTTTTAAAGTGCAAAATGATAATTAAAGGTCACTTCAGTTATTTATTTTTACCATCAGCAAAGAGTAGAAACAGCTGAGAGCAGGAACATAAGAAAAAAAATATTGTTTATTGAACAACTGTTAAAGGTTCAGTGTCCAAAATTTCAATTTCACACACAGCTTTTTGATAAATTTTTGATCCAGCTGAGCTGAAAAATAGCTTTCAAACTGGGCAGCATAAATAAGTTATTGTTAAGTTAATAAAAATGTGCAGTACGGTTAGTACAAACATTTACATGATCAGAGCTATTTCATCTGTGTTTGTATTATAAGAAGATTAAGGCTGTATAAATGTTCCAAACATCATTAATTTTATAATATATATTGCACATATTATATTAAACATAAATATACTTGCAGAGGCTAGATTGAAACACACCTTTTTCCCACAGCACTTGAAATAATGTGACTTTTAAGAATAATTTTATTTATCAAAATTCATTATATTTGCATATTTGCACAGATTCCACCCTACAGCCCACATGGGAAAATTAGACAATGTAAATAAAGAGAACTGCAAACTGATGTGCAAAGCTGACACTGTTTATCAGAGCACTCTATCTTTCTGTATATATATATATATATATATATATATATATATATATATATATATATATATATATATATATATATATATATGGAATAAAATAGGAGATTGTGGTGAAGGAGGGACTCCAAAAAAAAAAAAAAAAAAAATTTTCAAGAGGTAAGTGGGCTAGATATTCATACATGGTGCTGGTTATTGTGTTTAGCTGAGTCGTTTGCACCTGAGCCCAATTGAATGATTATCTGCTCGTGTCCATTAATAGACATTATGTGGGGAGGTACCGTCACCGCTTGCCTTTCAAGTGGATGCTGCACTTTTGTGGTATTTAAGGAAAATACTGCTCATTTCATAGTAAAGTGCTTTGGGTATATACTGTAGCAGTATAGTATAAATTCATTTGGCACTCGTGAAGCATATCCAGAGATGGATACTTTAAAATGAGCAAAGCTGCTTTTTGTTTTTTTAAGAAATAATAAACAAGAGCTGTCATGAGGGTGTAAAAGTGACATTCAGATGTCCAAGAAAAAAACGAATTATAATATTCAATTAAATATAAATCAAACTCACTTTAAATAGACTGAGAATTTTTTATGTTCTCCATCAGTTTGTCAGAAAACAAGAACATTTAAATCTAGTACCTGAGGATCCACAATATATCTTTTCAGCACCGATAATGCAATGTGTGCATCAGCAATAGTCACATCACAGGATGGCCAATATTGATTAAGAATTAATCTTGACCTGGAGAAAGTTCCAAACACAATATGCGTGGAGTCATATCAGAGGTTAGCAATAATATAGTCATTAGCATGCATTTAAGGACTGTGAGCATTCTCAAAAGTTTACTTATTACTTTATTATTGCTCATTCATTTTTCTTAGCTCCAGTGTAAACAAATGCTCACTTGTTTAAGCACAAATCACTCCTCCATTGCATCTTTCCAAAAAAATAAATTATGGATTTTCCTAATTGAGCTATTCAAGCTCTAGTAAGACTATTTATGTCACCCTATTGACCTTATTCTAAAATGCGGAAGTGCGCCTGTTTTCACGATTGTCTTAGAACTTCTGATTCAGTCACCTATGGGAGAAATGACTAGGAATAATAAACGGCAGAAAATGGCCAAACTACTTGTTCCTTAAACAAATGTTTGCATGACTACACAGACCAAGTAGCATAATATAATAAGAAAATATTAAATTGCAACATCAAGCAGCGTTACGAGCAGTTGTTAACGTCAAAAAAAAAAAAAAAAAAAAAAAAAATGAATGGAAGTGAATGAGACCGGAAGTCGCAAGACAAAGATTCAAATGGCAGCGCCCACTCGACAGCTGAGAATAAGGTGAATACATCAATGAAAACCAAAATATTGCAATGTCCGACTTTACCAATACTAAAAGCAGCTCAACTAGCACCAACCTATTATTTGTACTGGACTACATAATTGTTTGCTCACATAAGGGTTTGCCAATTTCATTCTCCTGTGTCTGCCCTTAAATCCAGGTGTATACATATAAAACAGTCAAGTCAGACAAGTAACACTAAATGAGATCACCCTTCTGTCTTTATTTTGCACATACTTGCACCTTCAAGCTTAAATTTTACATTACATTTCTGCTAAACATTAGCCCCTCCAAAAAAATAAGTGCCCAAAGAAATTAGAACTAGAAGTGGTACATCAATCTAAAATAAAGTTTAGACATTAGAATAGTGGTGAATTTATACAAACTTTTAAATTAAATAAATAATAAATTAGAAAATGACAGCGATTCACAGTCTGAAAGACAGGCAGGCAGGCAGTTTGTGTAGCATGTTTCAAGGCATGGTTAAGGATTGTTTGTGTGCTCTGTATAGAAGTGGTTGAAGGGTTTTGTGGAATTGTTCGTACAGTAGTTTGAGCTCGGATGTCTGGCTCCTCTCAGGCTTTGCAGAGAGCAACAGCAGAGAAACGCACCTCCCCTTTCTCTCGCTCCATAAACTCACGGCACACCCTTGCCGCATCCTAAAAGACACATGAATTC